TTCTCTGCTTATCCTTTTCCCCAAGCAATACGAGATGGTCCCAAATACCTGTTTGGTTCCTATAATTAAACCAGCTGTATTTTCTATTCAGTCCTAAAAGGGACTAGTGATTTGTGAAATGGGATTTTGCACCCAAGAAATGGGAAATGATAATTGAGGAAACAGCACAGATTTATTCCTAGGAAATTATAAATTAACTTTCAAATGCAATAAAACTCCATTTTTTATGTATTCAGACTGGCAGAACTCTGAGTATAACAAGTAAATTATGTGTAGTTTTGTGTCAAAAACTTCATATTCTGCAAAAAGATTAAGATTTCCGGAAATTTATTCTCTGCTCGAAATCTTTCTGTGAAATACATTTTTGTATGTGAACTGCATTTACTCTTTTTGCTGCTCTAACAAGATTACTCTTGTATCACATGGCATCAGTTAATTCTGGGTGTGCTTCTCATTGTAATCGTCAGGATTCGAGTGCAAGCATTTGTATAACAGTTATAAAACTTGCTTCCTGGTATTTCAGCTAAAAAATTCACTTTGCATCGGGGGTTGCTTTAGTACAACTTAGTCACAAAGGAACTTACACAAGGGACCACAGAAAAACCGCTAGCAAGGCCAAAGCAAATGCGTTGCAAAATTTAAACCAATATTTGCTCGAAAATGTTTGTGGTGGTCACCCAGCCCTACTTCCGAGTCCCTTACAAACGTCCTCGCAGATGGGCTTAACATTGCAGGTCTGCCTAAAGCTCCCTTGGAAACTAATCCAAAATTCCCCTCTTGCTGATGCTGGGTTTGTGCTCCCCTCGCAGTTGCGGTAAAACTTCTGCTTTTATTGATGGCTGCAGAGTAGATCCCATCATTTTCCTTCTCCTGACATTAAGTACCACATTGCAGGCACCAACCACCATGTAATTGAGCTAATACAGCTTTTACTTTTGACTTAACAAGTGGAAACACACATGCATGTACTTGGCTTTGGCTCCATGTTCACCCAGCTAAATCTATTGATGGAGTCTGCAGGACCTGGAAGAAACTTATTTTTAGATACCATAATCCTCAACGTATTAATTTGCCTTTACTCCTGCTCTTCCATACGCTGTCCGTCTTCTTCGTCCGCAGTGATACCTGCCTACATTACTCCTTGCAAATTTTAAAACCACTTTATTCACTGCTTCTTGCAATGATCACTAAAAATGTCGAAAGATAAGCAACACAGGCACAACGCTCGTGGCTCTGATGTCAGGTACATAACTTGTCCTTAGTTCTTCATCTCAAAAAAATTCACACCCCCTCCAAAAAAAAAAAAATCTTTAAAAATAAATAAGCACCAGGCCTCAAAAAGAGCTTGTTGGGGCTTCATATACGGTGAAAAGAAAAGATGGCATATAGTTTGGAGTAGATCTTGATGAAGTTCTGCCATTTGGATTACAGCTAACAGCTTCTTTAGTGCGACTTCGACACAACAAAACAACATTACGGTTACCGTCTTGCTGAGGATGGTAGAAAAAGACCGTAAAACTGAGCTGCACGTCTAAAATTACTTGCAAAATACTGGCTCTCTGAAAACAGCACACAATAACTGTAATTAATACCAGCTCTTTAAAGTATCCCTTAAGTCTGCTGAAATCTAAACCGGCACTGTATTGCTGGTAGCAACAACTGCATCCCTAAACAATATTAAAAATGACAACAGAAAATAAAAATTCTCCATGAGAAGCCAAAAAGTCGTAATCCACTGATCTGCTGAAAGGAGTAACACCTTTGCCCTTATTATTTATAGAGCTTTTTTGGGAGGATCTCGGGACTTTACTCTTTAGCTAAGCCTCATGAGTTCAACAACCCATGAGTTATACAAACATTATTTTACAATTTCAACTATTTTCCCAGAAAAAAAGGATCACTCTGGGGGAGGACTAGCTGAATTCTTTCTTTTACAAAGCCAATATTGCTTTACTCATACTCCCACGGCTTCAGAGCGGCCGAAGCTGAAGCCCACCCCGACGGTCCCCGGCCTCATCTCAGGGGACAGCGGGGGGGAAGGAAAGGGCTGCGGGTCGCACTGCACCCGCACCCGCACCGCCGGCGTTTTTCGGGGGACAGGAGCTGGAATAAAGGCTTGGGGAAACCTCTTGGGTTTAAGGAGCGAGCGAGAGAACGCAGACCTAGAGGCGGGCTACAACCGCGGCTCGGCAGCGCTGGCTGCGGCGGTGGGCGGC